TTCTCATACTTAACATGAAGATTTTTTATGTCTTTAATTAAGGACTGAGATCGAATCATTTCAGCATCTAACAGGTCATCGCTTTTGTCTAACAGTTTTTAAATATGTTCCATAGCTTTCTGTTGTTCAGTTGCAATTTTAGCAAGTGTTTTGTAGCTGGGTCTGGAACCACAATCAGAGTCATCTTCACTGGATGTTTGATAGTGAGTAGTGCGTGTGTTTACCTTGGCACCACGTGCCATGAAGCAGTAGGTGGGAGCAGAGTAGTCCTTGTCATTTGCATCGGCGTCGGTGATGAAGCCATTGTCTTCAGTGTTGAAGATGGACTTGGCAACATATGCTGTAGCCAAACTTGCAACGCCAGAATCAGACTAGTCCTCAGACTCCACCTTCGCCTCCTCAGAAGTGGACTCCTCCTCTGAATCCATTTCCTTGCCAACGAACTGACGAGCCTTGCCAGATGAGCTCTTCTTGTGTGATGAAGACTTTGAGGAAGACTTGGAAGAAGACTTTGAGTATTTCTTCTTCTTGTCGTCAGAATCATACTCCTTGCTCTTCTTCTTCTTGTTGTTCTCATTGTCCCACTGTGGACACTCAGAGATGTAGTGGCCAGGTTTCTTGCACTTGTGGCATGTTCTCTTCTTGTAGTCATGAGCAGAAACTTCATCATTCCTTGAGCTTGATCGTGAAGACTTTCTGAAGCCTTTCTTCTTGGTGAATTTTTGGAACTTCTTCACAAGCATAGCAAGCTCCTTTCCAATGTCTCCAGGATCATCAGAACTGTTGTCAGATCCTTCTTCAGATGAGGAGACAACTTTTGCCTTCAGGGCACGAGTTCGCCCATAGTTGGGACCGTAGATGTCTCTTTTCTCAGAAAGCTGAAACTCATGTGTGTTGAGCCTTTCAAGTATGTCAGACGGATCGAGTGTCTTGAAGTCAGGACGTTCTTGAATCATCAGGGCTAGGGTGTCAAACGAGCTGTCAAGTGATCTCAGGAGTGTCTTGACGACTTCATGCTTGGTGATCTCAGTAGCGCCAAGGGCTTGAAGTTCATTTGTGATGTCAGTGAGTCGATCAAACGTGAGCTGAACATTCTCATTGTCGTTTCTCTTGAAGCGGTTGAAGAGGTTGCGAAGGACACTGATTATTTGATCTCTCTGGGTTGAGACGCCTTCGTTGACCTTGGAGAGCCAGTCCCAGACTAGTTTAGATGTTTCCAAAGCACTCACACGACCATACTGTCCTTTGGTCAGATGACCACAGATAATGTTCTTGGCAGTGGAGTCCAGTTGAACGAACTTCTTGACATCAGCAGCGGTGACACCTTCACCAGCCTTGGGAACACCATTCTTGATGACATACCATAGGTCGATATCAATGGCTTCAAGATGCATGCGCATCTTATTGTTCCAGTAGGGATATTCAGTTCCATCGAAGACTGGGCACACAACGGAGACTTTGATTATCCCTGCAGTCGACATAGCTAAAACTCCAGGTGGTTAAACCGAATCACACAGAATAAAGGAGTACCTTGCTCTGATACCAATTTAAAGTGCTAGTGATCGACTAGAGGGGGGGGTGAATAGGCGATTTTTAAGAAAGTCTTCAAAACATGGGAGTTTCAAAGACAAACGATAGAAATAAACCTATTACCATGCAACGGAAGGTAGACTGCACTAAGCAAACCATAGTCAAGTATTCAATAAAGTGAAAGCACAACAACTAATGGCAGCTAGGCAATATGGATCATGTAGGAAGATAGTACGAAGCCAATTAGAACAAGCAGTCACTCAGTGAAGACAAAAGATAATGCAAACAAACAATGACTTCACAAGGACCAACTGTAAATAAAGAGATGTGAAGGATAGAACCAGTGACTCGTTAAAGACAATGATTTGTTGGACCAGTTCCAGTTGCCGTGACAACTGTACGTCTGGTTAGGGAGGCTGAGATTCAACTCAGAAGACCGTGTCTTCACCTTATTCCCCTTGAGCTAAGGACACCCAGTCCTCACCCAATCACTCTAGTAAGTCTTCAAGGCAGACTTCCAAACCTTCACAGAGTTCGTTCACCGGTGATCCATAATGACTCTTGGATGCTCAAAACGCGACGCCTAACCGGCTGGAGGATTCGCAGTCCTCAAGTGTAATAAATCTTCAGATCACACAGACATGAATACTTAAGTGATGCCTAACACTCTTTGGCTCTGGGTGTTTAGGGCTTTATCCTCGCAAGGAATTCTCTCTCAAAGGCTTCGAGGTGGGTTGCTCTCAAACGACAAAAGCCGTACACTAACTCTGAGCAGCCAACCGTTTATGGTTGTAGGGGGTGGGCTATTTATAGCCACTAGGCAACCCGACCTGATTTGTCCGAAATGACCATGGGTCACTAAGGAACTGACACATGTTCCAACGGTCAGATTTCAAACACACGCGGCAACTTTACTTGGGCTACAAGCAAAGCTAACCTATCCAACTCTGGATAAGATTTGCTCTCATAGTCTTCACTCAAAGATATAGGATTTTGGTTAAGCATCACTTCAGTCATTTTGACTGGTTCTCTTGGACCCCACTTAACAGTCCGGTGGTTCCTATGACTCAACGAAGAAGAAAAAGAATGACGAAACAACTAAGTCTTCGCGCTCCATAGTCTTCAAGCGATGTCTTCTCTTATCATAGTCTTCAAAGTGAATGTCTTCACATACCACCTTTGACTTTAATGTCTTCATACATTTTTAGGGCTCATCTCTGGTAGGAAAACCGAATCAATGAGGGACTTCTACCTGTGTTATCCTGTAATTCTCACAAACACATTAGTCCGTCAACCAGGTTTGTCGTCAATACTCCAAAACCAACTAGGGGTGGCACTAGATGCACTTACAACATATCTTATTTGAATGCCCCTTTGCTAGAGCAGCATGGTTTGCTAGACCTTGGTTCATTAGAACTGATTTGTTAATTCAAAACTCTAAGTCAATAACCGCCATAATTTTAAGTCTAGCCAACTCAGACCACCCTAATGCCACCTTAACCAATATTTTTACATTCATGTGGTGTCTATGGAAGTCCAGGAATGATAAACTTTTTCAAAGAAAAGATGTTTTGCCTTCTCAGATATTTTTTTCAGCTCAGGCTATCTCAAGAAGCTTGGCATTGGAATCAGATATAAATGAGCGGGGACAATTAACCATACAAAGTCACAACAGTAACTCTCAAGTTGAAGACAAATTTGCACAAGGAAATACAATTGATGCATTCAGCCTTTCAAGTCCAGTCAAAATATTCACAGATGCAACCTGGAAGGAGCAATGTCATGGAGTTGAAACAAGGAGTAATAGAACAGGTATTGGAGTCTTTATGCAGGTACAACATGGAGATCAAACAATGAAAGCTACAATTTCAGCAATGGCTGCACCAACACAATCAGCAATCCAAGCAGAAGCTCAAGGAATAAATCTAGCAGCAATCATTATGGATAGGTTCAACATTAAGGAAGCAGTCATACTAACAAACAACCGTATTCTAGCTAAAGCGGCAGCAGCAAGATCTCCAATGTTTCAACCAGGACACTGGCGGATTAGAAGTACTCTTGCAGATTTTTGTAGCACCATTGCTACCAAGCAAGTCCAGGTGTTCCATGTACCTAGAACTCAAAACTGTGAGGCTCATAATGCAGCTACCATAGCTGAATCTCAAGATTTGTGTACTGAATTGAGTTCTAGGATTAGATGTTGTGATGAAGTACATCAAAAGTGGTATTGTCCCCTGATTCAGGTTATTGCAGATGTTAGTGATAGGGGATATGTCATTACAAATGTAAACTGTAGCTGACAGAAATTTGAGCGCCTTGAGCGTCTATGTCTTGTTCAAAAAAAAGGAGATCCTTGTAGGATTATAGGGTTGACTGGGTGTGGCGGTCGGCGAATAAATTCGCACATGTCTTAACTAGGAAAGGTTGCAGGAATAAACTTCGTAAAACGTGGTTCCAGGTACCTCCTGATTTTGGCAAGAAAGTTTTTGATCTATTCACCAGCTGTCAAGGTAGTACAAAGAGTACCAAAAGTAAAATTTGCATTCAGGTTTGTAGAACACCTAGTGACGACTACAAGCACTGTAGTAAGTCTGAAGGCGCCCCGCCGTCATCGCTCCTCATTGATTGAAACCGAGCAAGCATTGTTGTAATAGACAGTGGGAAAGTCGTCGTGCTAAGGCCTTATAGAACCAGTGCACCAGAACAACAACTGTCGCCGATGAAGAGAAGCGTAGATGAGAAGGATCCAACCTGCAAACACACATATGCCGATGAACGAAGACCAGATCCAATCAGATCCACCGAACACAAACGTCGACCGGATCCCACGAGATCCATCGAAGACACACCTGCACACGCCCTTCGACGAGGCTAGAAACTCCACTGGGACGGGGGCTAGGCGGGGAGAATTTTATTCCATCTTTAGAAAATCATCGCTGCCTCGTATTCCAGAGCATGACACAAACTCTAACAAGATTAAAAAAACACCTAAAAACATAGCCCTTCCGCTGATAAGGGCCGAGATCCGCCGTGTTTCCATGGTCCTAGGACCATAGGAGTGAGGCGGACTGGCAGCGTTCCTGCGAGAGGCAGTGAAAGCCCCAAGTGTACGCCTTGGGTCGCAGGACCGAAGGGGTACGGCATGGACAATCTTTATGGTTCCGCGTACCTTCTTTTTATTTATGAGGGGAGGTTCCACATACCACTTTTTTAACACAGTACAGACGCAAGCGCTCATATATATAATCATACACTCATCCTTATGAATGCACACACACCTTATCTCTATGAGCACCTCCGAGAGACTGAACCGACCATGAACATTTTAATAAAACTATAATAAATTCTGCTCAAATTAATGGTCGCGAAGAATGATAAGTTTCTTTCATGCATAATGATTTACTATATATATTTGGATACTGAAGTTTTATTTAGACCCTTGTGCACTTGAACAGAGGGAGTACGATTGTCTATCGCCGTCCTCGTCCGCGCACCTCACCTCGGCCACGTCGCCCTGTCCCTGATCCACGCCCCTGGCCTCGTCGTGAGGAACCACCAATTCCGTCGTCAAGCACCGCCCGTCTTGCAGCCGGGGGCCGACGCGGGCGCCTAGGCCCTACGTGCAGTTTCTGCTTGATGTACCCGCCATCTTCCCCGGTCCCGGCCTTCCTGCCTCTCAGCAGCTTCGCGGCCATCTCGATAGCGGCATCGGCATCGTCGGTCATAAGCAGCCTCTCTGCGACCTCCGCCGGTGCCACCTCCACCTCCCGCAGCAGCGCCTCGACCTCGGGGTAGAGCGGGTGGTCTTGGATGCCGTGGTAGTTGGCCGCGAGCTCCCTGAAGGCGACGAAGCCGCAGTAGCCCATGTGGACGTGCATGTCCATCCGGCCAGGCCGGAGCAGCGCCGGGTCTAGCCTGTCCTTGTGGTTGGTGGTGAAGATGAGGATCCGCTCATGGCCGCTGCTGGACCAAAGGCCGTCCACCATGTTGAGCAGCCCCGACAGAGTGACCTGGCAAGGCAACGCACAGCTTAGTTAGTAGGAGTAGGTGACAACCGATTTGGAAACCACAGGAAATGAAGCGGCAACTGCTCTTGTTGGACAAACAAGAGTAGCACGGCAACGATTATAGAGTTGTTGCCTATACAGTGACCCAGATCAGTGACTTGCTGGTACTTGAAGCAAACTAAATCAGTGCTGTCGTTTTCGTGTTTGGTGAGGGTGCGATCAGGGCCGGTCCTGAGATTTCGGGGGCCCGGGGCGAAGTCAAGACTTGGGGCCCTTTTAATATTGGTTATCAGTTTTCATGGAAAATCACATGGGGGGTGTGGCATAGGGTTTTTTATAGATAGCGAATTGGAGACATACCTTCTCTAGTTTGCGCGATCTGTTCTCGGTGATGCATGGCAGAGTGGGCCTAGCAATGGGGCGTCTCCGTCTAGGGTGCACATGACATCAAGCGGTAGTGACACCATCACAAGTAGGGCGCACAAGAGATCAATCTCAAGGGTGAACTGTGCTAGGAAGGCAATGTTGCTGCATGGTGGTGCTGTGTGACAAATAGTTCAGACATGGACGATTGCTTAACAGTATGAACATTAGTGCTGCACATATGTAAATTGGTTCACGAAATGCCATGTCAAAGGAACTATTCAGATTTAGTACTCTACAAAAAAACAAGATTTAGAACTCAAGGTTTAGGCGATGAAAGATTTTCAACAGTTGCATCAATTTATTTTGTTTTGTAGTATAGGACTCAATTTGTATCTTGGACCACGATTACCTTAATCTTTACAAGAAAATGTTGATGAGCTGAAAGTGCAGATCAAGAAACCTTATCATTTTATGTCCAGGAGTCTAATTAATAAAATCCAAAATTGCCAATGGGTATACAACACGGTTCTTCACTAGAAAATATTCTGTGAATCCGGATGGTGCTTTTCTTGTTTTTCATTATTAGTACATGGGAACAAAGGTTTTCCTTTGAATCAATTGTATATGACAACAAAGTAGTCAAAAGAATACATGCTAGGTAAAGAAAGAACAACCACAGATATTTGACAAACCGAGATTGATTTTGTTCAGGATCCATCGAGCAGAACTTCTGGGAGAGAACTGGCGCGGTGTTACTTTTGATTGCTAGATCTTGTGTTCTTGGAGAGTAAGGAGTAGCCGGCGTATTGGAGAAGAACTAGAAAACCTAGATACATAATTTGGAAAACTGGGGAGAGAAAGATCGAGCGTTTGTTTTCTGTGCGAGAAACCTCGGCGGCTATACGATGCATCAGATCGCTAACCTAGACGCTTTCCTTTTCCCGAGTTAACCAGGCCGATGGACATGAAAATAGTACTGGTCAGGTAAGAATAGCCTAAAGGACTAAAGCAGTTTGTTCGTCGTCCATTGCAACTTGCAACATGAGTTGGATTAGTACTACTAAAACTAACCTTGTGATTCTTGGAAACAGGGTTGCCCCCGCCGGAGCTTCCCGTCGCTTCCCTCCGTGGCGCCGTCGCCAGGGCGCAATCGACATCTTCGACCAACAATATGGACCTGTTCTTCATCCGAATCAGCAGTTTCCTCAGCTCGGTGTTGGACCTGACGCTGCCGACGTCGAGATCATACACGTCGAAATGGAGGTGGTTGGAGATCGCGGCGACCAAGCTGGACTTGCCGGTGCCGGGCGGGCCGTGGATCAGGTAGCCCCTCTTCCACGCCCTCCCCGTCTGCCGGTAGTACTCCTTCCGGGTCAAGAACCTGTCCAGGTCGTCTACCACGGCCTGCCGCAGCGCGTCGTCCATGGCCACCGTCGCGAACGTCGAGGCGTTGCGGAGCCTCACGGTCCGCCACTTGCCCCACTCGTTGCTGTACAGCTTGGTCTGCCTCTGCTCCTGGGACATGGCCTCCACGCGGGCCATGACGGCCGGCAGGTAGGAGCCGAGCACCATGTCCTTGTGCTCCGCGTCGAAGCTGAGCTTGAACACCTCGCGCGCGTCCTCCGTGGTCCGCCGCCTGCCGGCGCCCCCATCGTGCTTCCTGCTTAGGCGCCACGTGACCTTTGCCCCGTCGAACACGTCGACGACCGCCGTGCCGGGGCGGAGGGCGAGCAGGACGTGCTCCGCACCGGCCCCGCGCGGCAGGCTGGCCTTCATCAGCGGCACGGACGGTGCCGCGGCGAGGAGCGTGGAAACGTACGCCTTGGCCGCCAAGAAGACGCGGTTGTGCAGGGCGCCGTCGAACTCCTCGATGAGCACGGCGTGGCGCCGGGCGGAGGCTGGCGGCAGGAGGAGCAGCGCGCCGAGGGCCGTGCCTGGGAGGACGTCGGCGAGCACCCGGCGCAGCAGCATGGCCGCGCCCAGCACGGAAGTTGCCGTCGTGACGGCGCTCTTGTACCGTTCCAGCGCTCTGCTGTTGGGGGATGTCATGGCCATGGCCGGCTCCAACTAACGCTGTAGCAGTGGGGGTTTGCTTAAGGTCTCGATCTTCTAATCAGGTGCTTGAGTTGGTTCTGTGGAGCAACTGAGGAGAGCCTTTAATTGGAGCCGTAAAAAAAATGCAAGGTCGGTTGCAACGGGGATTGATGATTGACCATTCGCTGTGTGTGATTGGTGTTTGCAACTTCACAAAGGAGATTAGTAGGTTCCACGTGGAGACCAGGGATGCGACCCGTTAACCTAGTGAGTGGTTTCTTCGAAACTTCAATCGACCGCCCCACACCGAGGGCGTCAAAAGTGACCCCCAATCAAAGTCTTTGCAGGGCCACCAATTGAGCACGTCCTCGTGGTGTTTTTTCGCGCACATACGACTTCCAAGGCGACTATGTTAGCGCATTTTTTAACAGTTTTCGCTAAAGCACATCGAGACGTGACATAAGGCTGGTTATAGTGGGGAGTAACTTAGACTAATATCATGCATATGACACTAGTCTAAGTTACTATCTTTATAGTGCAAAGTAACATAATAGTTGTGTCATAAGTTGCTCTATTTATTTGCTCATAGACTCAACATTTGTTGAAAAGCGTTATGTGATGGTAACATAATATGTTACTTCAAACACCTCTCTCCTCATTAACTAGGTGCCACATAAGCAAACTTGTTTTGGGATGCGTTATGTTACTAGATAAGTTACTCCCACTATGACTAAGGCTAGCCATAATGGGAGTAACTTAGGTAGTAACTTAACACATCCCAAGACAATTTTGCTTATGTGTCAAGTATTTAATGAGAAAAGAGGTGCTTGTGGTAACATAATATGTTACTGTAACATAGCGTTTCCCGAGGCAAAATGAGTCTATGAGATAATAAATGAAGCAATCTATGATACTACTACTATGTTACTTTGTACTATGGAGGTAGTAACTTACACTAGTGTCATATGCATGACACTAGTCTAAGTTACTCCCCACTATGACCAGCCTAACCTAAGTATTGCATATCTAGGTCTTATATTATTGATCTGACATTGAGACTCGTGTGAATATTATTTTTATCTTTTTTCTTTCTTTATGCTTGATTCACTCACTTAGATGTCTTTTTTTTAATGGGAAAACTTTCGATCTATTCAAAGTCAGTTATGGCAATACAACGAAACACTAAAAATTATAAAAATTATATGCAGATACATAGACCACCTAGGGACGACTATAAACACTGAAGCGAGTCAAAGGCGCGCCACTATCATCGCCCCTTCCTTGTTGGAGACGCGCAAAACTTGTTGTAATAGATAGTCGAGAAGTCGTCGTGCTAATGCCCCATACTATCAATGCACCAGAACAGCAACCGCCGCCGATGAAGAGTACTCCCTCCATTCATATATATAGGACCTAATGCGTTTTTTGAGATTACCTTTGACTGTTGATAAGATTAATAATATATGAGACATATGTATTGTGAAAATTATATCATGGGAGCTTCTTTCATGTACGCATTTGACAGTATGCTCTCTGTAACTTGCATGTTATATTTTATTGCTCTAGTATGTGATCAAAGTTAGCCTCAAAAAACACATTATGCCCTATAAAGATGGATGGAGGGAGTAACGTACTCCATCCATCCGGTGAATAGTGTACATATAGAAATTTTAGGACAAATTATGAAGTGGAGTAAAAAATGCATTGGGAAAATGATGTAGGGTGGAAACCCTAGGGCCAATCTTTCACAATTTGAAGAGGATCCCGCGAAGAACATGAGGGGAAACACGAGGGGAACGAGAGGATACACTCAAATCAATAAGGAACAATCACACATGTGCTAGATCCCTGAACACACAGGGAGATACACGATCCAAAGTCAACAAAGGACGATACAAACGTAACTAGTTCATCTCCGTCAGGAGGCCTTGAATCCACGAGGGATCTTCCCGTGAGGGGTCTTGAATCCAAGAGTGGATCTTCTTCGTAGAGGCCGCGGTCTCTCGATCGAGAAGAACCACAAGGATGAGCAAAGCTCTGTCTTAAAATGAGCTAAACCTATGCTAACCCTAACTAGGAGGAGGTGGAGGAGTATATATAGTCTAGGGCCACAAAGGGGTAAGTGAGGGGCGAAAGGGGTACATGGGCCTCAACCCCAATCTCTATGTGCAAACAGGCGTCGGACGTCCAACAGCTGTCGGTCGTCTGGTCGTCCGAAAGTCTTTGGACTTCCGACATTTTCTCTCTGGTCGGTTGGCGTCGGATATCCGGACGCTATCAGTTGTCCGGTGGCTGACGAGTGTCAGACGTCCGGCATATGGCGGTCGTCCGGGCGCTGTATGGTGCTTCTGTTATAGTCGATCTGGCTGGTGAAGACTCCAGGCGTCGGACGTCCGGTAGTGTCCGGTCGTCCGGTGGCTGTCGGACGTCCGAGAGCTGTAGCTTCTTGGCAGCTCCTTCTCTTGCTCTGATTCCTTGCCTTCTCGTCCAATGCTCCTAGCTGCTTCATGGTCTTCCTCTTGGTTCCTGATCATGCATATCACATATATTTGAGGCAGTAGCCATGTGTCACATGTGGAAAGTGACGATTCAGAGAGGAGCGAGTTAACCCTGTGTCCAATGGCGTGTACTTGAGGTCTCATCTTATGTCCTCTTGGAGCTTGGAGAGTAGACTAGTGTACATGGAGATGATCGTGGGATGCTCCGCATAATCTCCCCCCCCCCATTGGGAAAGATCCGACCTCAGATCGTGATCCTCATCACCATGGAAACGGTTGTCGTGGACGGACGTGTAGTTGGACGGAGTTGAAGACATGGCGCAATCCAAGTACTCCAAGGTGTCATCGGAGTGGTATACATGCAAGAAGAGTAAACACAAACGACACTCGAAAATATAATGGTTAGCGCATACAAAGTGTCCATCATGTAAGAATGAGTTCGTACGAAAAGATTGTGCGTGGCAAGGTATAATATGCTTATCCAAATGATCTAGAATGCTATGTAATGCGTTTATGGAGCAAATTCATTCATTGTGCACCACAAAAGGTATGGTAATTGTCATGGTGCACAAAGCTACAAATTTTATCATTGTGCAAAATGATGTCATAATGTGACGGTGTATCAAAAGCATGAACATGGTAATTGGTGCTCAATGTTATTGTGTTATCATGCAATTGATAGTGGACAGTGTGGTCATTATGTATGAATATGCCATCAAGGAAGATCACAACAAATTTGCTAAGGAAATGCACAAGCTCATATATCATGGATGACATAGAAATACAAGATGCAACAAGGCAATCATAATGTGAGTCAATCCATGTATAAGATGCAAAATTGTTATGGGTTGTGTTGTACCATAGCTCAATGTCTTGGTAGAAGTGGTGGTCCGGTGGTGCTTCCAACGTAGGTGCATCCACTAAGTTCGAGCACTCATCAACTTCAAGGTCCATAGGGTCCATCTCCAATGTCGGTCCTCCATCCAATATGTGTAACATGTAGACAAGAGGGAGGAAACAACAATGAAAGAATGACCCATCCAATATGCGTATGTGAGGATGGCTCAAAGGGAAGGAGTTCACCTTTATGAGGATGTCGAAAGTGTTGGTCTCGCGCATCGTGTACGCCTTCACATTACCAAGTTGTCACATGACGACACCGCCTTGTGAATCCTCCAAAATGAAAGAACATGAAAAACACCAGGAAAAACAAATGAGGTTAGTGTAAATGCAAAGCCTATCATTCGAGTGGTGAGATACCCAACAAGTGCTTTCATCATTCTTATCATAAGAAAGTACAAGTGATGCGGAGCATCCTACGGTCATCCCCATGGACCTATCGTCGTCTCACCAAGTGCCAAGAGGACCTATGACACGAGCTAGAGTTAGAGCTCTAGAGACTGAGGTGACTTCCTTCCTTAGTGATATCCCATATGACCCACTCGAGACATGGCTACTACCTAAGTCCGGAATATTGTGCATGATTAGGTACCAAGAGGACCCTCCCGGAGATGCACGCGAAGACGGACAAGTCCCAAAGTTCATGGATGAAGAGAACCAACGGAAGGAGTCAAGAGCAGCTTCCAGGACCCGCACATCCGGCCATGACCCCGGACATCCGCCCCCTGGAGCGTCCACAACGACAACTGCCAAGCACGTATAGGGCCCGGACATGCGGCCTCAGCCCGGACATCCGGCCAAGCCCGGAAATCCGGCATCCTCAGTCCTGAATGCATCAAGACCGACCCCGCCAGTCCGGACATACGGACACCCCAGCCTGGACATCCGGCCCCTCACGAAAGCCCAGACATCCAGCCCGACGCCCGGACATCCGGCCTTCCCTGTCTGCGCACAGTGTAGGGCCGAGGCCCATGTACCCGTTCGCCCCTAGACTATATATACTCATCCACCTCCCTCTTTCTAGGGTTAGCGTTGTGTTAGCTCATATGTGAGATAGAGGTTCGCTCATCCATCCGGATCTACTCCATTGCAAGGGACCGTTACCTCTTCGGAGAAGATCCAACTTGGATTCAAGACCCCTTCATGGGAAGACCCCTTCATGGGAAGACCCCTCAAGACCTCCTCACGGAGAAGAACCGGTTACCTTTGTATCGTCCTTTCTTGATCGTGGATCTTGTATCTCCTTTTGTGTTTCGAGGATCTAGCATATGTGTGACCGTATCTTGTTGGTTTGAGTGACTCTCTCGTGTTTCCCTCCATGATTTCTCCTCGTGTTCTTCGTATTCATTGCGGGATCCGCTCCTTTCGTGAAAGATCGGCCATCTAGGGTTCCACCCTAGATCATCTTGGTATCACGAGCCACGTTGATCATGATTTCGGAGCCTCCCCTCTTTGTTTTCTAGCCTAATTTTGTTGATTTCGTCCTCAAAAATCCCCACCAAAAAACAACCCCCAATTTTTTTGTGATTTGTTGGCGTGATGAAGTTTTGTTGGATTTGATCCACGGATTTCGTGTGTTGTAGGTAGATCTAGCTTTCCCCCTTCCTTTCCCCAATTTACATCCACAAAATCTCCCGAA